GGCTCCGGCCCCGCCGCACACTCACCGCCGCGGCCGGCCAGCAGCAGGGCCAGGGCGGCCAGCGCGCCCAGCTGCCCCCGCAGCAGCTCCCCGCGACGCCGCCGCCTCCGCCGCTCCGCCGCCGCCGCCGAGGCGCCCATCGCGGCCGCTCCGCTCCTCAGCGCCGCGCCGAGCCGGGCGCCGCAGCGCCGCCCCCGCCCGCCCCTGCGCGGCTCTCGGGCGGCGGGCGCGGCCAGCGGGATGGGGAGGGGACGGCGCTGGGGACGGCGGAGCCCAAACTTCACGGCCGGCCCCGACCCCCCTCCCCGCCGCCGCCGACACGCGGGGCGGGCTGCTGGGCGGGAACGGGGCGGGGAGCCGCGGCGGAGGGGCTCGGGGCTGTCCCGGCTCCCCGGGCGGGGTCCCCGCGGGCGGGCGGGCGCGGGGCCGGGGCGGCGTCGCGCTTCTCCGCCGCGTCCCTCCGGCCGAGCCCCGACACGGGTGCCGGCGTTTCCCGCGGTCGCGACCGCGGAGCTTCTCCCGGCTCGCCTTGCCGGGAGGCTTTCGGCATCGCGTCCGACGGGCACCTTTACCTGCCGTTAAGGTATTCCGGCTAGACAGACACAACAAAAAACGCACCGCGCCGGGAGCCCGGCCGGCCCATCCCCTCTCAGCGGCGGGCGGCCCTCGCCGCGATGCCTTTGCACCGCTCGCACCGTGCGGGATTCTCACCGGGGGGTTCGTGTTCCTCTCCGCCACGCCGCTCCCAACGATGTGCTGGGTGAGCGGTGCCCGGCCCCACCCGCCCGTCCCCGAACCTTTCATCCCTCTGCCATGGCTTTAAATCGTCACTATGACTGCAGAATTACAGCGAACGCCTAGTGGCCGTGCTGGAACCTGAACACCGTGCGTGCACGAGACCGCTGCCTCTGGAGAGCACGAGGTTGTGAGCGAACACCGTCGTCCCCGCTCTACAGGAAGGGCGCTGAGGCGGTGTGACACATCTGTCTGCAGCTCTGGTTGCGCCTGGGCTTTGAACTGGGCGTCCCTGAAATCAGATCGGCCGCTCAGGACTTCTCCTAGGTGTCCTGACAGCTGCCCGCTCCCTGGGGGCATCCAAGGTCAGGCTGGATGGGACTCTGAGCACCTGATGATGTTCACTGCAAGGCAGTTGGGCTAGATGACCTTTAGGGGTCCCTTCCAACTCAAATGGTTCTATGAAATAATGAGAGAGCATGAAAGCATGGGCAGCGCTCCCAAAAGAGGCTGATACAGCAGCAGAGCAGAAACCCTCCAAAAGTCTCTCAGAGGCTTCATTATTTCAAGTTAGAACACTTCTGACCAAAACGAAGCAACTAAAGACTCATGAGAGCAGGCTTCACATTAGGATTGGCCTCAGCTTCCAATCTCCCCTCCAAGGGTCTCTCGCCATCCTTGCAGGGAATCTGCTTTAGCAGGGGTTGGACTTGATGATCTCCAGAGGTCCCTTCCAACCTTTACAATTCTGTGATCAACTTCAGCACGGTTGTCAATCACTATTCCAAAGGACTGATCCATGGTACTCACAGGCACAGCTGCTGGCCCTGCTGGCCCCATGTAGGCATGGCCAATTCCTGTGCAGACGGTGAGCAGAGTAAGTTAGCAGCTGTGCTGGGATGTAACTATGAAAGCCATGTTTTGGTTTGGTTTATTAATTTGTGTTTTGTTTGTTCTGTTTTGTTCTCCAAGTAAGAAACACTCCCTTCACTGCAAGGCAGGTTTCATCCCGTGATAAATGATCTTAAATACCTCAAAACTTCTAGCACTCTCAAATACCAAAAGAAATCACCACGATTTACAAAAGACCGTGCCTGTCTCATTGCTTGCTCTTGGTCAGTACCATGCAACAGACAGCAGCCAGCTTTGGGTTGAGAAGTTTGGGGTGAACATTGCTCCAGCTGACGTCCAAGAGTTTTATGACTGCACTTCCAAAGTATTCCTTTTATATTTGTGCCCTTTTGAAGTCCATCTCTGCTTGCGAATGCTAACCCGAGAGTCACTGCAAAATCACTGTTCATCTTCCTTTGGTCACCTCCCTTCCATTGCATCACCTTGCAGATAGCAAGGTGTAGGCTTGCTATGCCTCAAATTAGAATATCTGCTTGGGAAGTCTCTGTCGTTCAGGAGCACATTTCCTCCTCAATCACAAATTCATTTAGGAAATTCCTTCGCAGTGGGGCAGACACTACCTGACAGCTTGTGAAATGTTTCCATTCCTGGGCAGGGTAACACAGTGGAGAATTCCCTCTTCTCCTCCACTGACAAACCAGCATGTGGGCAGAGCAGGCTTGAACTAATCTGTATGCAGGAGGAAACAGAAGGCAGAGGAGCTGCTGTGGATGTCACTCTTCTGAGAGACAAGCTCTTATATTTATCTTCTATGAGAGCCTTCTGCAAGAAAAAAAGGAAAAAAAAAGATAAAGGAAGAAAGAAAAAATTACAAAAAGAGAAGACCAGTGTGCTGCTGGAGATATGCTTCGTGTCACCTCTTCCACTTCTTTCTTTTCACTCTTGCTCCTTTTCTGACCAGGAGGCTCAGAAGGAGGGGTGCAGGTGGTACCAAGCAGTGTCCTTTTGATGGATGCATCCTGCAATGATTCAGTGATGCGTGTGGGTTCCCACAAGCCATGACTTGAGCTTCTGTTGGCTGCCCCGTAGGCTGCTCTCCTGAGAAGGCTGTGGAGATGCTTTGTGTGGCTCCAGAGGAGGTCCCAGTAACATTGCTAGGAAGGTTCGCAAAGGAGTAACAGAGAGATGCGCTTTTGCTAATTGTGGAGCCACGTCCCAGCATAAAACCACTTCAAGCATAGAGAGAAAACTGGATCTGTATCACAGGATACAGATGTGCAGAGATGACAGCCAGATGCGCCTTAGTGAAGCTAAGGAACAGTCGTGACTGTTTCGAGGAGAGCAAACAACCTCATGTACTTGGCATTTTCCCCTGGAAACCATGCCAAGTTCTGCTCTTCAGACAAACAGAGATTTTCTTCTGTTTGTACTGGCAGATTATGCTCACAAAGAGCTTTCAACTCTGAAGGAAAATATTTAGGATTAATGCCAAGCAGCATCTTTAGGTAGCCATTAAACAGCGGGCATTCAGGCTGCCAGGTGTGGAGATTTAACCACAAAGCCTTGCCCAGATCCAGAGAGGGATCCATAGGGCAGGATACCACACTGTGCTGCTGTCCCTTTCACCACCATTCCTGAGCCATCCCACCAAGGGAAGGCAAAGCCTTCAACATTGCCTCTTACACATCAGCTGGTTAGATGTATGCTTTAAGCATCACCCAGCAACCAATAGACAACCAGGTGGCAGGGGGTTGGAACTTGATGATCCTCAGGATCCCTTCCAACCCAAGACATTCTATGATTCTATGAAGTGTATTGGTTGAAGATCAGGTTTGAAAGCAAAAGGCCAAACTGCAAAGAGGATGCAATTAAATATGTTGCTGATTGCCATGGATGGTTACTCCCTCCTATCTGAGCAGGATCCCCTAGTGAGCAGAAAGGCCTGTGTGAGTGATCCTCCCCTGCTCCCATGCAAATTAGCCATCCTCGTGCAATTTGCAAATGATGTTGGGTTAAGGAACTCTGGCTGACGTTGCACTGGTCAGGGAGCCAGCAGCCAACTTTGGGATGCCTTCAGCCAGCGCTGCATGGGGGATGATAAACCATTTCCTTTCAGTCATGCACTCCTACTCCAGGATCAAGGCAGCAAAAGAGGCTGACACAATTTCCATTTTAAAACAGTTTACAACAGTGTTAGCTGTGCCTGTTCCCATTTAAGAGCATTTAAATAAGTTTGCATCTGCTTAGATAAAATGTACCTTAAGTTCATACCTTGGTTATGGTGTCTTCCTTAGAATCATAGAATCATTAAAGTTGGGAAAGACCACTAAGATCACCTGAGATCACTAAGATCAACCATCTGCCCACAGCTAATACTGCCCACTGCCCACGTGGGGAAATGCCTGCACTTACACGGTTTGAGAAAACGGAGGGTTTCAAGGAGTGAACCATCAGGACCACATCTGCTGAACACACAGAACTTGCCATGACATCTACTGCTGCCCAGCATCCTGCCAGAGGCAGCACCAGGGCATTTCAGGGCTGTTCCTGCCTTGCCGAGTGCTGAGGCTGAACGCCAAGCACAGGGAGATTGGTCTCTTCTGGGCTGCAGAGCAGGGAAATTCCTATGGGAAAAGTGAAGAGAATTACTCCAAGCAGCACATCAAACTGGGGCACCAGGTCTGCTCCCAGTGCGCACACGTGTCTGTAATCGCTGCTTTGGTTCTCCTGGAGCAGGCAAAGGGCATAAGCTCTCCATCTTTCAGCTGTTTAGCAAAATAAACAAGGCTGTGACAGAGCTGACTTCTGGCTTGCCTTCTCTCAAGTTCTATTTTTTCTGTTGTTGTTAAAGGAGCCCAGTATCTTTTGGCTTCCTTATTCCATTTTTCTTCTCGCAGAATCTCCCAAAGCTTTCCATGTCCTTGCTCTTTGACTGAAGATTCAGAATTAAATGTATTCATTGCTAAATAGATAAAAGGAATAATACATTTGGTCTACATACTTGTCCCTTTTTGAGACTTGGATCTTTTTTCTTGCTATTCTTCTCCACTCACACACCTCATCATCTCCAGGTGCCATTTTCCTCAGACCAATGGAGATGGGAGCTGACGGGGATGGGAGAGGTACCAAGTGTGACCACACTCCTCTTCCTCACCATGATAGCTGCACACCAGTGGCTCAAAAGTTTGCCTTCCCTACTCAGAGCTAGAGGACCAGCACAGATGTATTATTCAGATAACTGTAGAATCATTAAGGTTGGAATAGACCACCCAGTCCAACCCCAGCCCACCCCCACCGTGCCACTGCCCACATCCCTCAGTGCCACATCCCCACGGCTCTGGGACACCTCCAGGTGACCCCAGCACTCCCTGGGCAGCTGTGTCAGTGCAGAATCACTTCTGGAGAAGGAATTGTTCCTAACAGCCAACCTGAACCTCCCCTGGCACAACGTGAGGCCATCCCCTCTCATCCTATGGCCGCTCCCTGGAAGCAGAGGCCGACCCCACCTCACACAGCCTCCTTTCAGGTCGTTGCAGAGAGCTGTAGAATAGAA